CACAACACAAGGAAAAGTTAAGCTTCTTCTCTGTGCAACCATGGTCACTTTATCTGCTATACATATTATACTATTTAAATACATGTGTTTTAACTTAATATTTTATTAAAAATACCTTTGCAAACCACTTTTCTTTGCTAGCGTCAATTTTTGTTTACTTTTACATTTGAAATTGCTCCCCTTCTTCGCAAGTATAATCGCTAAAACTAGGTTGGACACCAAAAAGTTATCGGTTTAATCTGAGATTTTTTTATAATTATAATTTTGTATGGCTAATGTCTTTTTCTAATTACAGATTAGGGAGTTAAGCTCGAAAATAGGGATAATCTTTTTATATTTAAACCTATTATTAGGCGATTCAGCAAAATACAAACACATGTAGGTCAGGTTACAAATCAAACACTACTTTCACTTAATTTTATCCATTTTGCTGATTTTTTTTTTAATTCATTTTCATTTTTAATTCTTTTAATACATGAAGTTATCGGTATGATTGATAAAATAAGATACTTGATAATACTTGTGACTCAAGGACGTTAAAATATCTTGAAAACGCCGCATAAATTACTGGTTTTGAACTTGTAGTTTGAGCATTTATATTTGTATATATTCTAAAATTTAATTTTTCATTTAGGAATATGATTCTGCTTCATCTGTCGCTAGGTTTACGTTAAAGTCATGAATACTTATAACATATCATCTAGTGCAGCAAAATGGGAAGCTAAATTCATTTGTGCGGCATTTCCTCTTACTCTCGTCTTCTCTTTGTGCAATCTTCTATTAGTTCTAATCCAGTACTCAAAGAACTTAGAGGTTTTTACCCGAACTTGTAGGAAGTTTCAAGAAAAATGATCCCGTACTCATGGGCGTAGCCAGGTAGGGGCAGGGGCGTGCTGGAGCCCCTCCCCCCCTAACTTTCAAATTTTCCTTATATATATATAAAAAAAAGTACCATGAAATGCCAGCTTAATAGGGTCGAGCCGCCCTCCCCTAAATTTTATTCTGGTTACGCCGATGCCCGTACTCCAAAACCATGTACTTGAGACCGATTTTTGGAGAGTTGTGAAGAGAATGAAGTTGCAAGATTTTACCCGATGCTTTTTTTATGCCCGCACTTTTTGCTGTTGTTCACTTTTTACCAGGGACGTGAACCGGATGAAAAATTTGTTTGGTTCGGTTCAGCGGTTCGAACCGTTTTTGCACTTTTGGATTGGTTTGTCAAAGCGGTTTTTTTGGCCTTTGAACCGGGGTTTCGGTTCGGTTCAACGGTTCGAAAAACAAAACAAGTTTAAGTGCCAAGTGTCAAGTGCAACAACGCGCAAGAGTCAAGGGTCTGTCAAATGAGATGGGTTGCCTTTACATTTGATATTGTCGCATGGTAAACAAACATGATGGGTATTACCATGTTTACCAAAAAGAAAAAAAGTGGGTACATTTATCTATTGAAAATTGGTTGAAACGAACCTTCAATCTTTATAGAAAGTGGTTCGGTTTTCGGTTCGGATCAAACATTTGTGGAAAATTTCGGTTCGGTTAATGGTTCAGTTAATTAATAGAAAAGAAAACCGGTTCACGTCCCTGCTTTTTACTCTCACTTCAGAGAGGGATTTTTCTTTTTGACATTTTTACAGGATTTTACACGTACACGTTTTACAAGTATTAGATCAGAGCTATTATATCATCCATATATATATATACAATCAATTCAAAAACAATTCCTACTTTTTGCTTTAAGAAATTTCCGTTGGGATTCTCAATATAACCTCCACCTTACACGAGCCGATTAAAACTTATTAATCTTCCTACACTTTCCAGCCGCAGGCAAATGCTTGGTACAATTTTTATAGTTAAATTACTAACAGGCATAGTGGCCAACTTGGTGCTTTAAGCACTAGATTTAGTGCTTTTTGAAAATTAAAACGCCAAAAAAAAAATTGTTAGTGCCTAGTGCCTTTTTAGTGCTTTTCTTCTGAACTAAAATTACTCCGATATAGTTAAAATCTGAATAATTTTTAAATATTTAAAGCTGTGGCACTTGCAAATTCACCTTGTTCAATTCTATTCGCGTTGAAAATGCTAGTAGATATGCGAGTTAGTTAAGTATTTCTTGTTTTCTTTTGTAATTATTTGTAAAAATTTTTATTTTTGTACCACCTGACTAAAACACATCGTTTCTTGGTGCTGAATCCAAATCTGGCCGCACAATTGCTCTAGCACTAGAATTTTGAGATATGCTAACCTCAAAGTGCCAAAATTACGGTTTTTGGCGATATTTGAGGTTATATAATGAAAACAAAATTACAAGGTCTTATCGAGCGTATTGTGGGAAAGACTGAAGCCCACCGTCAATGAACTGATTGGGTCTTATCAGTGTGGCTTTAGACCTGGCAAATCCACCATAGACCAGGTATTCACAATACGCCAAATCTTGGAAAAGACCCGCGAGAAAAGGATCGACATTCACCACCTATTTGTCGACTTTGAAGCCGCTTGCGGAAGCACTAAAAGAAGAATTTCGTTTACTTGGGAACCGGCATGAACACCGATAATAATGTCAGCTTGGAAATCCAACGCAGAATCACTCTTGCCAATAAGTGCTACTTTGGACTGAGTAGGCAATTCAGGACCCTCCATAAGTCGCTCATCAAGCCCGTGCTTGTATATGGCGCAGAGGCATGGGCACTAACGGCAACCGATGGGCGGCTCTTGGAGTATTCGAGAGAAAGATTTTGCGGAAGATTTACGGGCCTTTACGCGTTGGCCGACGGAGAGTACCGCAGACGGTGGAACGATGAGCTGTATGAGATTTACAACGACATGGACATAGTGCAGCCAATTAAAATACAGTGGCTCCGCTGGCTTGGCCATGTCGTTCGAATGACACCGACGCTCCAGCCTTGCAAGTATTAAACTCGGAACCTGCTAGTGGTAGCAGAGGAAGAGGGAGGCCCCCACTGGGATGGAGTGATCAGGTGGAGAAGGACTTGGCTTCACTTGGCATTTCCAATTGGCGTCAGTTGGCACAGAAGAGAAACGACTGGCGTGCTTTGTTGAGCTCGACCAAAATCGCTTAGGCGATTACAGTGCCAAATAAGAGGAAGAACAAGTTAAGTAATAAATGCACGAAGTTTATTTGAGTTTGATGATGCAGTAAATGGTATATCTATTAGTCTCTCAATATATCGCACATTTAATAATATACAGAATTATTTCAAAATTTAAATTTTTTGGGAAAACGCAATCAAAGTTTGATCAATTCATACAGTTAGTATACTAAAAGACAGGTGGAAATTTGAGTTACGTCTCAATATTACACTGTGCAACAATTTTAGGGTAATGAAATCAGTTTTTTTTGTTCATAGGAACTCCTCAGAATATTGTGACGGCAAAAAAAGGTGTGAGTACTAGGTACTCATGAAATTTGATATGTATACATATGCGTACGGCAAAGCATAAAAGTACGTTTACATATAAATATGAGGTGGGGTGCAATAAGGCCCGCGGAAATAACGCCCATGGGCTTTATGCCATGGGCTTAAAAAAA